AGTACACAACACCTAGGAACAACATTATGAGAAATACAAATTTTTAAAAATCTAATTCTATTAACTTGCCTTGTATAAAAAGAGATTTTAGAGAGGAATATTCCCAAAGTTTTAGTCCATGATTACGGACTTAGATCGGAATCTGATTTCTGGGAAGATCAACTGGACAAGGTTAATCAACTTTTTTGGGAAATGGGTATCTAAAGGCAAACTTGTAACGAAATATGCCAGTCGTTTTGAGTAGATGACAGGGGGTGCAGGAAAAAGTATAAACAGATATAAGAACTGTGACCGCTACTAATGAAATTCAATATTTCTGCGGAGACTGTGAAAGAAAATTATTTGTAGGAACGTAAAGAATACTCAGCACAAGAATCAAACAACTCCAGTCACCATACAGATACCTTAAGTAACCGAGCACACTGCAATGACCAGAAATACTTTGATAAAATTAGACGGAAAGATAAACTTCATATGGTGAACATACAAAAAAAAGAATGTGAATGAACTCATATGCGCCTTTTTCTAAGTAGTTTAATAAAGAGATAGGAAGACTTGAGATTTAGCTACCATTTCACTTACTGTTTGAGTAGATTTGGAGAGAGTCTGGATTAAGCAAGGTACAGCCAAAGGGGACAGTAAAGATGAGAAATATGTATCAAAGACATCTAGGGAACAACAGGAAAGGGCATCGTCATGAATAGGGAATCGAGGGGCAAATGTAAGTCAAGATGAATTATAGTGAGAAGAGTCCAATCAAGAAGGCAGCTTAAACTTAATTCAAGTTCTATGGTTAATTCTATGTTCTGCGATATTTTTCAATCCTTTTTCAACCAACTATGAATACCTTTTGTCAATTTCTTTATCAATGCGATTTAGTAGTAAATGTTTAAAATGATGTGAAGAGAAGGCAACATTTACCAAGTGAATTTAGCTTATCCAAAGTCAGCTAAGCATCAGCTTGGTTACTATCCTCTACTTTCATACTTCTAATGATCATTGACTTCAAAAGTTCAACCTTAGTTTTGTTATTAAGGTTGGAAAGAAAAGTCAGAAAAGAACTATCAATCTTTTTGACCTACTGTTAGCTTGAGACTTCTGTAAAAATGAATTCCAACTCCGATGATGTCCATCATATAATGGACGAAAGCTCAGCCTAATTTCCCCCGAAACGAGGGAGAATGTCTCGTGGACTGCGTCAACAAGAACGTCGTATAAAAACCAAACGGCTGCAGTGCAACTGGGATCAGCCGTCTCCCTCTGGTTAGATCGAGCTTCGAATCTCTTCTTCATGCACTTTCATACGAAATGAAAGTCTCCAACAATATGTCGGATAAAGCAGACACACTTCAAAAATCTGTTGGCCAAGGAATGACACAAGTCCTCAAGAAAGCTTGAAAATCTCAATTATTCTTCTATATTCATTATAACAAAAGCAAATTTAAAGAGTATTTCAGCAATGTAATGAAACAGCTACTTCTCATTTTAAAGAGTTGTCATATAGTTAGACAACACTTTTCAAAGTATAAAACACTAATTGTCACATAAGATGAGGGTCACTAATAAGTGAAATAAAAGCATCGATATTAACTTCTGTACTTAAAATTTTGTTCTGGAAAATTGTATAAAGTGTACTAGGTCGCTTAAGATTAAGAGTGGAAAAAGAATCTCGTCATAGAATCTCACTTAGCCTTGAATCCAAAAAGGTTTCCTATGACAAAAGTGGACTGCGGTTTCGACCTTGCCTAGGTTTCGTGGGCACTTCTAAAGGGTATTCGAAACCTTGCAGGAATATCGATAAGGCAAACTTGCATTTGGCATTACAATCAATGAATTGGGGTAGAATCATTGATTATGCATTGACTATGATAGGATCTAGTGGTATCGTGTAAACAAATTTATTATTAATAGTATATTAACTTTTTACATACATAAAATAATTACGATGCATTTGTCTCATAAGTCAAAAAGTAATATCCAAACAAACGTTGTTATTCGATATAAATAGGTCGTGGGGTTAGCATTATATGAGGCTTATGTGCCAGCTTTATTGCTCCTTTCTAAACCAAAATCCATGCTAATAAAGCATACTCACGATTGAGTTCCAACAGCCAGTAATGAGGAAAAGTCATTCCACCTTTGCGAACTGAGTCCATAAAAATCCCTCTAAAATAGTGCGTACTTCCCATGGGAAAATTAGAAGACGGGACACAAAAATAAGTTAACTTATTTGATAGCAGGTGGATTCCCAAGCTCCCAGTTAAGAGAAGTTGCTTGTTAACGAAAAAGTGCAATACTTGCCTTTTAATGTTCTCAGAAAGACTACACAAGTTGTAGCTTAAGCTTGATAACTATTTTGTATTAAACACATCTCTTGATAAGAGCGTTAATTCTAAAACAATTACAACCAAAGCTACCATTCCTCGCTTAGTCATAGGAAGGCTTGGCGTCGAAACTGTAAGCCCAAAATAATTATTTTTTAAAAACACTAATATGCCTACGATGATATTTATTAATCATAAACGTACATTTTTCAAAGTTTCTATCCAGATTTGAAAAGCAAGACGGCAACTTGGCCCAAGTAGAAATAAATGAAGTGCTTTGTTTCATGTGTTACATAACTATAAAGAAGAAAAGAAGCGTAATACGAATAAATTTACAAAATTTATATCAAGTTAATTTTTAAAATCAAAGCTTTTCCTACCTCCCAAAATTACGGCCAACTATACAATGCCATGTTGGATTATAGCGCTTGTCAAATTCCTTCTTCAGATAGGCAGCAATATCTTTCTCAATGTTATACTTGTCCATTGCATCAGCACAGCACTGCACAGCCTCTTTTTGCATGTCCTCCGGCATGTCTGCATTCTTTATTACAGCTTTTCGTGATTCCTCGGACATTTTTGAATGTACACTTCAGCTCAAGATTATTTGTACTCAGATTGAAGGTGGGCTCTGTTTAAATAGTTTATGAAGCCGCCTCAAGGAAGCAACCTAACCTCGTGACTTAAGTCAAGCTACTATGAACAAGTTACCTGAGTTGTTCATGTAAGTTGAGCCCATGGGGTTCTTAAGCATTAACATAGACAAAGATGCATCAATCAGACACACATAAGTTTGCGAAATCTGCCTTTGTTCAACGCACAAGCAAACGTTAAGAACAAATAAGCAGTTTAAAGTTGATAGATTCATTTAACAAATAAATTAGCATCCTTTGGACATTTAGGAACGTTTCTTTGATGAATCTTAAAGAAGATAGTATGCAACCAAGGTAAGAGGAAACAAACAACACAGTTATGTACGTGATAATACGGCTTCAAGCATACGCGCATACGCGGATGCACACGCACCTCACTGATTTGCACATGCATGCTGTTTCAACGCCGTATTTGTTAGCATGTGCCTATGTGCTAATCGGAGTAGGCCACATGTGTACACAAGAAGGGATTAGCTAGGTGTTCATGCACATATCGACCTCTATTTATAGACTGTGAATCAGTGCGTTTATTTATGAATTTCAGTCAAGCTTAGGGGCTTGAAGCCAAGGCACAGTGCTAAAAGCTTATGCTCCTGAAAGAAAGAAGCTTACCTTACACAGTGAGAGATTGACAACGAAATTTGAAGTTTATAGGCCGATCTTAGTGATAAAAGATTTCGAAATCTACGTACAAAAACTAAAGTATTTACGTAATAGGCAAAAGGCCTGAAAATACAAGATAATATAATGTAAAGTAGTTGAATTAACGAAAAATCCGGCCGTTAAGGAATCTGAAAGACTAAAATATGTCAACATTAATACTAAATTCTTATGCAGGATCTAGTTGGACTATAAAAACTTGTCAGTATTCAAATGACTCAATACTGGGTAACTATTACATTTGATATAAACAACTCAATAAAAATGTTCAAATAGTAGCGCTTTTGCCTATAGATGACTGAAAGGATGTAGTACAAAAAAATACGTGCAAATAAATTCGATTAATATCCACATAGAAGAAATAAGAAGAACCGAAGAACTGTGAACAAAAGTACAACGGGGAGTCGGATTGGACAATCAGAACAAGTATGGAATAGCATCAGCGACTATACATAAAAATGGATACGGAGAGATCGGAGGTAGCTGGTAAAGATTGGGATACTCAGGAGTATGGTCAAAGGAAGCTGACGACTCATGGATTCTGAGTTAGGGAAAGATGAAATGGAAAAACGAATTCATAGGTTTCGTGGAAAAGGATATCCTATTTTAAAGAAACCTGATGAACAGGAGATTAGAAAATGGACGAGTCGGCGATAATTCCGCGTAATGTTAAGGCAGACTTGGTAATTCAGCAAGGACAGCTAAAAGAAGACGCTTGTCTCAATGAAAGCTATTTAGCAACATGAAGACACCTAGCCAAGAAGAGGATTATGAAGGACAAGGGGAAGTTAAAAGAAGGCGATTGCAGGGAGAGTCTATTCTGGAATTGGCCTGAAGAGTAACCGGTGTATGTCTACCTGTGGGACAACCAAGAAAAGGCCATAGACAAGCTAATTGTACACCAGTAGAGGCGCTAGGCTAAGGATCTAGGTCTAATTAAAATTAACTCGAGTGAAGCAACCGAGCTGGGGGCACAATATCAGTTGGACCCAGTGTATGTGTGTGCTTCTTTGCTTGCGTGCATGTTTCGTGTTGTTCCTGTAGTGTATGTCTGACTATGGAGGCATCAACCAGCGTAGATATGCAGAACTGACTAGAATCTTAGGCTAAGATGGGACTATCAACTTGAGCAATAAGAGGAGTGTGTTTTACGCGATTAAGGAGTGGAAATAGGGAAGTGGTGTATTTTCACATCAGTGGTTCCGAACTAAGCGAGACACAGGGTACCAAAGAATGAGATACACTGGAGGTGGGAATGAAAAAAGGATAATCTGGCCA